CCTAAAATTAACCCCTAAACCTAACCCTAACCCTAACCCTAAAATTAACCCCTAAACCTAACCCTAACCCTAACCCTAAACCTAACCCTAACCCTAAACCTAACCATTAACCTAACCCTAACCCTAACCCTAACCCTAACCCTAACCCTAAACCTAAACCTAACCCTTACCTTAACTTGAATCGGCTTGCTTTCAAAGCGCTATTTAAAGCGCCCTTCTTTCTCCGCGCTAGCTGTTGTCGCCCTGTTGATGACGTCAGCGACGCGGTTTAATCGGGCGCGCTTTAGTCGAACGCGGTTTTGTGGTGGAACCAGTTCAAATATAGATAAGGAGCTTGGGCAGGCGGGGGGGCCCTCTGGAGCACCGTACCAGAATGGTACCTGGTGCTCCCAGCAGGCACCGATACACCTGTACAGGACCGTACCACCTGCAACCTACCACTGGCAATATTCCATGTACTATCTTACCAAAGCATTATAAAGTGATACTAACACTTTACATGATTTTTATTTTACCCCTCTTTTGATGCAGCTTAAAAGTAGCTTTCTTTGCTGCTGTAGCACATTACTAGCTCATATTGAATTTATTATCTCCTAGGACTCTTAAGATCTCTCTCACAGTTTCTACTATTGAACCAGATGCTACCTATTCTATACCTGTGCCTTTGGTTTTTCATGCCTAAGTGTAGAGCCTTACTTTTTTTACCATTTAATTTCATTTTGTTAGATAGGGCCCAGTGTTCAAGTCTGTCAAGATCCTTTTCTAAGCTTATTTTCTGGAGGTTTCTGCAAATTTGATAAGTTCCTTTCTATCCCCTCATCTAAATACACCTTGGATTACTGTCAGTCATCACTAAAGAATTTTTTAGGTTTTAGTCCTACTTTCAATGCTTTAAACTGCCTTAACTGGCATTACATCAGAACTATTTATTCTACAGGGTCATACTGTAATTTACTCCTACACCTATTTCATTCTATATCCCATCCATTTCCTTTTTGGGAGAAGTAAAGCAGAAACCATAGCTGGGAACAAAAATAGATTCTCTGAATCTGAAATACGGATTAGCCACAAAGGAACCTTGAAATGCGTTGGAATTGCAGTGTTTAAAATTGGGCAGGAATTGTAGACTTTAGCATTTTGGGGGGAAGGAAGCACATCACTTGGAGAAATATGGGTCCTACATTTTCAATATTTCATAGAAGTTTTAAATGATGAAATGTAGTACAAGATTAGAAATAAAGGCTATAAGGCTATAAGTTTCAGCATTGCCCGCAAGGGGAAACTGTTAGAAGAAGAAAAGAGGAGGCAATTATTGTTTGATTGTTTATGTGTATGGTGTTAAACCATACACATAAAAAGAAAGAAATGTCCTTCTGGGTTCAGCTCCAAGTGGGGAAGAAGACACTGGAGACATGGAGGCTGCTTGGAAAGATGGTTTATTGTTGGACAGGGCCACATGGCTTGAGCCCTGAACAGAAAAGGTGATCACATCCTTCAATGTTGGTGGAGAAGAAGAGAAAGGCTGAAGAAGCCTTTGCAAGGCTTTTTATACCCTGTTTAGTCCCACCTCTCTGTTTCCTGTTCCTGTGTAAGAAATGTATTCTGATTGGTTGTCAGACTCCCATGGGGCCATGCAGGGGCTACTCTCTAGGCTGTGTTTTGAATCCAGGTATGGATGACTTCTCAGATGCCATGAGGCCAGTGGAGTAAAGTTCCAACATTATCATGCCTTTCCTCCTATCCCCCCTGGGGCTGCAGTGGAGAAGTCTTTATTATGTAAAGTGGACTAGCCTGGCCCATTAACAGTGGGGATGGGCAGGAAGCTACAGGCAACTATTCTGTCTTTTAAAACATGTTTCTTTCTCCTCACATCCAGAGAAATATTCTGCCTTTTCAATATTTCCTAGGATATTTCATTTTTCTGGGAGAGGGCTGGATGATAACTTCCCACAACTGAAAGAAAACTGTTAAAATGCAAAGCATCTAACATAAAAGTCCTGTTTACAATAAAAACTAAGCATAAGTGTAGTGGTTAAAGTGCTGCCATAGAAACCAAGAGACTGTGAGTTCTAGTCTGACCTTAGGCATGAGAGCCAGCTGGATTTGTTTGGGCTAGCCATTATCTCTCAGCCCAACCAACCTCTCAGTTTGATGATATGGGGAAAATAGGAGGAGAAAGTAGTAGTATATATATTCATTGCCTTGCGTTATGTATAAAAGTAATAAATGTGGGATAAAAAATAAAATATATAATTTGGTTTTAGTTCAGATACAGAAAGTTCTGAAAGCATTTTTATAGTAAATAGTTTAACCACATAAATAGAATTTCTAAATATTGTTCATTTAATAGGAAATGCACAGTTGAATATTCTGGCCAGCTCAAATGATTTGTGATTCAAGAGAATCATAACTTCCAACTTCCAGGAATGATAAATTAGATAATTCAGAAGAGCAATTGATTCAGTTTCAGTGTCATGAGTATATATATAAAGGCTCTTAGTGTGGAATATTATCAAATCTCTCAATGAACACCATCAAGGTCATGACATCTAGGCAGGGACGTGCAGTCAGGGGAGGCAGAGCCTCACCACTGTCATCATGAAAAGAAAAGAAAATGTAAAAGGAAAAAGGCAAGAGCTGAGGTCAGGCTGAGCTAGTTGCTGCCAGAGTCACCGTGGATGACTCTGCTTAACTGTTTAAAAAAGCCTCTAAAAAGCACCCTCTACAGGAGGAGGCAGGAGAGCGACATGCCTCATCTATTCTGACTTTAGGCGTTTTATGATCACCCAGCAGAGTTAAGCAAGGGTTAAAAGCCGAAAAAATCCTGACATAGACAAGGCATGTCGTTCTCCTGCCTCCTCCTGTAGAGGGGGCTTTTTAAGAGGCAGCGTTTCAAACAGGCCTCAACAGAAATACATCCAAACTCTAACTGAAGAAATGTATTTTTTTATTGAACAAGGAACTCTGAGAATAAATCTTAGAAATTTAGATTGAATTATTTCTTGTGGCAATATTATTGTACATGCATTGCTGTGCATCCCAGAACAGAAGGCTTATTATCTTGGCTTTAGGAAATTTAAATGCTACTGGCATGCAATTATTCCCATTATGACTTACCTACCTATTTAATGCAACAGAAGCTTTTAAAACCGCTGGTTTCAAGACTGAAATTCCAGCAGGTTGAAGACTGAAATACATGCCTAGGTACTTGACAGTTTTAACTTGCTCAATTTGGTTATTCATTTCTAGTTATGAGAGCAATAGATGGAATGCCTAGTAAATAAAGCCACTTTGGTATATGCGTTAGATTGAACAGGGGGCCAGAAACGGAAGGTGGAATTTGGATTGACAATAATTTATTAATTAAATTTCGTGCCAGAAGTCATTCTTTGTGGTGTTCTCATGGAACATCATTATAAGCCATAGAAGACAGTCATTGATAGAAGTGGCTAAATGGTAAATGGGAGGAGAGGGGCCACGATGGTTCAGTGGTTAAGATGCTGAGTTTGTCAACTTGAAACAGCCTGGGTTCAAGACCTGAGTACCCTGCAACAGGATGAGCTCCTATTATTCACCCCAGTTCAAAAGCAAGCAACTGTGAGTAGATGAATAAGTACCACTTTGGCGGGAAAGTTACTGCATTCTGTATTTTCATGTTGGCCACATGATGATGGAAACGTCTCTGACACAATGCAACCTCCCGCAGTTGAGAATTAGATAAGCACCAACCCCTGGAGTCACAACTAGACATGAGGAACCTTTAAGTCTTTTAAATGGTAAAATGAGTCAACCTTAAATGAATATACAGATTTATGTTTTTAAAAAGTCTCTGACACAAACTGCCTTATATACTTTCCAACGCGTTATTAGCTCAGTGCAGAAATGCTTAAAGCTAACCCCGTCTCCTCAGAATTCCTATTCCAAATCATCTAAATTTTGGTTTGACAGCGATGTCTGTGCTAAGGCTTAAGTAATTCTTGCTTGCAAAGCTGCAAGGGGTAAAAATAATTGTCATTCTCGGGATTTATTTTACTCCTTGAAAAAGGAAAACAGGTTTCTCCTCAGAAAGAAGATTCTGGTAAACCAACTGGCCGAATGGGACACATTTATTTAATCCAGAGCTTCTCAATCTTGGCACCTTTATGATGTGTGGACTTCAACTCTCCAAATTCCTGAGTGAACATGTTTTCCATTCTGGTGATAGACAGATCCTAAGCCGATAGTGATGGAAGTTATAATTATAAGTGCCCCAGCCTCACTTTCCCAAAACAATAAAGTGATTGAAATGTAATTGTCTCTCAGTGTATACACACTAGAAATGCCGATTTTGGGATAAATTGAGATACAAAATTTACATTTAAGGGCACTCGTGTAAATTAGAAATTTGCAGAGTGTTACAAATATAGACCAAACTAGATTTGTATTGACAATAAACTGACAAGGATCAGATTTATAATAGTCTTTATCTATGGATATTAATGAGCAATAAATTGATACTATTTAATATGTACAATGTTTGATCATGTTGATGTTCATTTAAAATATTTTTTCAGAAATTCTCATCTATGCAAGATGAAAGGCGAAAAGGGAGAAGTAGCAGGTAATTATCTTCTCAGTAAGCTGCAGATACAGCAATATTGTGAAGTAACAACAGGAATGCATTGAAATTTAAGAAAAAATAGTATGTAGACTAACTGAGAGGTATAGACCCAACAGGAGGGGTGTCTATTAAAAGAGGAGTGTATTGTTGCAACTTGACATTTGTTTAGTAATGTTGTTATACAACCAATACCAAATAAAGGCTAATAATCTTCAATTTATCCTCTAGAATTTCCTTTGCTAAGCTAGGTTAAGTGAATTGCATCCAATTTTACTACCTTTTTTGTTAAGGAAATCATTGCAGTTGTTAAGTGAATCATACAGTTGTTAAATGAATATGGCTTCTATTTAATTTGCTTGTCAGAAGTCAGCTGAGAAAGTTTTAAATGATGATCACATGACCCCAGGATGTTGCAACCATCATAAATACATGCTGGTTGTCATGCATCTGAATTCTGGCCACATGATCACGGGGATTCCGCAATGATCATAAGTACAAGGACCGGTTGTAAAACCCTTTTTTGAGTGCTATTGTAACTTTGAATGGTCCGCTAAACAAATGACACATATCATCATGCAAATTATTCAAATCACTACAGAATTTGGTCCATAGCAGTTGTATCCATTGAATGGATATCCAGTAAATTAAGATTCCACTATTTTGTTAATCATGATACATGCAAGTTAACACTGTTAATTGGTGAACATTTATTCTTGAATTTTGAAATATTTAGTTTATTCGTGTATTATAGTTTCCTAGTGTCACGTCAATAAATTGGAAAATACACTAAGTTGTGTATTTAACTTGAATTTTGCAACAATAGGTTCCATTATTAACTACATGCCATCCATAAATTGTGGCGTTCTTAATCCAGGCACTTGCTTACTGAAATCAAGTCCTCTCTTTCATAATGGCTCTACACCAAGTGTTAAACATATGCACAGCAATTATTTCTGTGTTCTTATTGATCAATATAAGCTATTCATTTATTTCTCAGCCTGACACAGCCCTGATAATGTCACTTTCTTAGTGATATGGCAAAATGCTGGAGTCTAAATTTAAATCTCTTGCAGCCTAAGCTTAGTGGAAACCTTGCCTGCCAAACTGCAGTGTCGGTGCATAGCGATGTTGAATACATAAATCCTTCTAAATAGCGGCTTATAAAGACAGGCCTAATGCACTTCAAATTATATCAGTAGAAATGGCGTTTCAGAAAATTGCCCAGTAATTGTAGAACTTTATAGCAAGGAACAGCTTTGAAATGCTAACTTGTGCATGCTTGCTATCAGTATTGAATGGAGCATTTAGAACTCTCGACTTTTTTTTTAACAATAGCAATAGCAGTTAGACTTATATACCGCTTCATGGGGCTTTCAGCCTTCTCTAAGCGGTTTACAGAGTCAGCATATCGCCCCCAACAATCTGGGTCCTCATTTCACCCACCTCGGAAGGATGGAAGGCTGAGTCAACCTTATTTATTTATTTTACTTATAAAATAAATAATTTTATTTATTTATAGTAAGACTTAGTGTAACATAAGAAGCCTGTGCTTCTATGGTCCAGAATGTTATGTGCATTCCAGGGTTACCAGTTACCAGCTTCTCGAGTGTCAATTTAGTGTGATTTTTTTGCATGCCTTTTCCCTGTATTTTCCCCCAATCAGTTGAAATCTCTTCTAACATCTCTCTCATCATATTGTTATTGGAACCTTGCAAAATTTCAGCATTCTAGAACAGTATCTGACAAGAGTTCACCCTGTCTTTGAGATCTTGAAAGGTCTCAGATTCAGCGCCTAAGATTTAGGGCATTGATGCCTGCATATGCCCTTCTGCCAGCAAGATTTCTTGCCTAACCTAGTGAAGTCCAAAACAGCCAATTTTGTGCCAACCACTTCTCAAAACTTTAGCTGCCATTGGCTGTAATTAAGTCTATAGTCCTTTAGTTGTGACTTGGATTGTGCTTTAAAATTGCAGTCTTAAACTTGCATATTAGCTTATAAAAACATAAGGAAGATGGCGAAAATTTAAAAATTTTCACAGAATTGAGATGAAAACCTCACGTGCAAAATGTGAAAGGTAATCAGCATTGCCCTTAACATAATTTGAGCCAGGATAATTTATCTACTTTTATTCTGGAAGTTCCTTTCCTTTTGATCTTTGTAGCTTTACAGATAAAATGCATAACAGAGGTAATATTTCTAGAGGAGTCCATGTACTATGTATCATGTACTATCTTATCTTTTACTTGATAAGAGAGTACATGATACATTTTGATCTAGTTCATTAACATATGTAGTAATAATATATATACCATGCTTCCCCAAAAATAAAACAGGGTCTTATTTTCTTTTTACCCCTGGCCTTATTTTTGGGGAGATCTTATTATTTTTGAGGTGCAGGAGGTGGCAAGTGTGGTCACCTCATGGCTGCTGCTATGTTACAACATTTTTAGGGAGGACTTATTTTGGGAGAAGGGCTTAGTTTAGTGCATGCGCTCAAAGGGGCTTATTATCTGGGGAGGTCTTATTATCAGGGAAACACTATATGTGTAATACATATGTACATATGTAATATTTATTTTGGTAGTCTGGGCAAGATACTGAATATAGAAGATCGATACTACCAAGAGTTTACATCTACTGATTTCGTCTCAAAGGATAGAAATGCCAGCACAAGAGCAAAGAATCTCCTGCAAGATCCTATCTCTGCAACATTAAGGAGTGCTGAAGGGTGAGCAGTTTCTCCAAAATGAGTATCTTAATATTTACCAAATTAAATACAGGATTGTTGAACTTTTCTTATTTAAGAAGTCTTCCAGTACAACCAGTAACTTAGATTGGGATCCTACAGAATCATCATCAAATGGAAGCTATAACCAACTTAATTTAAGAATGTAAATGGTTTTATTTGTTTAAGTAGTTCACATTCTGTTCTCCAAGGTTGTAAGCAGACATAATTCAAACGCAAGTATCTAGACTAACTAAAATTGCATTTACAAAATTTAGATCCTATTGAGTTCATCAAAACCCTATTTTTAATTGTACATACATTCATTAGTTGTGCAGCAGAATCAGTATAAAATTCTTGAATAAAGGTAGGTCTTCCGAGTAGATGTGCAAAGGATGAGAGTGCTTAATTACAAGTCAAGATGGCCATAAGTCATATTGACATGTATAGCCAGTTTTTCAAATGCTCTCTTTTAGCCCCTTCAAAGACCTTTGAAACCAATAAACCTCTTTCTCTTATTTGAAGTTCAGAGAGGCAGAAGATAAATGCAGCCTCATAAGAAAATGTGAAATTTCTTGCAGTAGATTGTTTGACTTAGAAATTAGAGAAGTTGATACTGAATATTACATGATTTTTTGAGTAAGAAAGTAGGACTCATCAAAGAACAATTATATCTGGTTTCTTCCAGGGTTATATAAAGATAGAATTTTGTTATTATGTAACATGTTATCCAAAATGTTATTCCTTTGATTAAAGTATTGATATAATTTTAAAATTAAATCTGCCTGCTGTCCTGGGTCCTTAGTAGGGGTGTTCTAAGCCGGGTGTGGCTGATGGGATAAAGATATACATGTCCCCTTGGTTTTTACTTTCTTATTTAACTGTTCTAATTTTAAGTACTTTGTATTGTCTTTTTTAAATTATTATTATTTTGCAAGCCACCCAATATTGCTGTAACTGTGAGATGGCTGGCATATTAAACACATACATACATACATACAGCAGGATGTTTGCCATCAAGTGAAATAGACTTAGTTCTCATTTACAGACACAGTTTTTGAAGTTTTCGTGGATAAGGGTTGTCTTCATCAGATGGTTGATGCTGGCAGTTTGCAGATTCATGGAGACTATAATTGCTGTATATCCTCACCTACCAAATGTGAATAATTCATGTTTCATCTGATGAAAAGAGATTTAGGTCCAAGTGCCAAGTTTTATTTTCACATGCACACAACACACAAACACATATACATGCATACGCACTTATTCTTTGTTTGTTTGTTTGTTTCCATGATTTCTCTCAGTTGAAATTGCACAGGTTGCAAATAAATTTCATTAACTATGCAAAGCCTTGTTAGCTAAGTCACTATTCTCATGGATTTCTTCATTTGCAGTATTAAATCTGTCATTTATTCTGGTAATTATGAGTGAAACTGGTGCAAGATTGCTACAGTGCAACTACATAGAGTGCGGCTAGGAACTCGGAGCACTTAAATAGGCACACAAAGGTGCTTTTTCAAGAGGCAACTGGACTTCCTGGAACCAGAAAATCCAGTTGCCTCTTGAAAAAGCCCCATTGGGACAACCATGACCTAGATCAGTGTTTTTCAACCTTTTTTGTGCAAAGGCACACTTTTTTCATGAAAAAAATCACGAGGCACACCACCATTAGAAAATGTTAAAAAAATTTAACTCTGTGCCTATATTGACTATATATAAAGTAATTTTCCCACGGCACACCTTATACTATGTCACGGCACACTAGTGTGCCGCGGCACAGTGGTTGAAAAACACTGACCTAGATGACTGAGAATCTCAGTGGACTTAAATAGGCACATTTTGGCATGTCTAACAGCTAGCTACCCTATGTAACATTTGTCCAGTAGATACAAATTGCTGAACAAAGCTAGTTGTGTAATAGCCATTTCCTGACCCAATGTTGAGATACTGCTTTTCACTGTGAACTTAAGATATCTGCAAAATCAAGAAACCTGTAAGTTTCTTTATGGTCAGTTGACTGTGATTGATACATACATGCTCATTATCTATCATCATGAGATCAGATAATGATTTACGTGTATAAACAGCTTTGCACCAGAATATTCATGTATTCTTAAGCACCATCATTTCCCAAGAGCCTGGTTCACAATTCAACAGTCAATTTTCAAGATGTAATTTTCCATCATTATTGTAAGCTATTGTTCTCTCTTTGTCTCTCTCCCTCCCTCCCTCTCTGACTCTCCCACTCTCCCTCTCTCTCTCTCTCTCTCCTTCCCAGTGTGCAAGGATGGTGAGTTAGCATCACAGGATTGGAAAGACTCAACTGATCATTTGACCCAATTGCTTGTTCTGAAACAGAGTATCTGTAATCTGAAAAAACAATGACCCCCTAGTTCTCAAACTGAAGATAACATCATTCAGTTAAGAAAACAAATGGATACCAGTAGTTCATTCCTATTTTTTTTCCTAACACTTCCACGTAATCCTTTTTAATTGGTTACTTCATGCCCATTGAATAAAACATCGTCTTTATTTGACATTCCCTCACACATAGCACATTTTCCCTTGCTGCAAAAGGCAATGCTTTGTCAGAGTGAAACAGCTGGAAATTTTCTTTCCCCTGAGGGTAGACTTAAGCAGTCAGTTAATAGTGTGTACTGAAGTAAATATTTTGATTTACCCTTTCTAAAATGTTTCTGTAATGTAATCCATAGGCCAAAGGTCCCTGGGATCCCGCTAAAAGAGAACGAAGAGGAAGATTATCCTTTTGACTACCAAAAGCTACTCCGGAAGACTTCTCAACGCAGGCGCCTCCTTCAGAAATATTAGCAGCTGCTGCTACTGTTTGTTCTCCTTCTTCAGCATGATCTCTGCTTTTCTTCTTCTTTTTGTTGGGGATGGGGTATAGAATTTCCGTATCCTTTTCTTTTGAATAAACTTCCCACATACATATACCGTATTTCTCTGAAAATAAGACCTCCCTGGATAATAAGCCCAATTGGACTTTTGAGCACATGAGCTAAAATAAACCATCCCCTGAAAATAAGCCCTCCCTGAAAATATAGCAACGCAGCAGCAGCCATGAGGTGACCACACTCACCACCTCCTGCACTTCAAAAATAATAAGACCTCACCAAAAACATGGCCAAGTGCTTATTTCGGGGGTGAAAAGAAAATAAGACCCTGGAAACACGGTATTAGCTGTGTATTTGGGTATATGAACATGTTGCCTTAGCCTCTTTCCAAAGGGAGATACTAGGCTTTGTTATAATGTTTGTTTATTTAAATATGCAAACAGATGTGAAAAATATTGTTCTCCTATAGGATATTCAAACTCTTAAGAGTTCTTTTTGGAGGGAAGGGGAAGTACATTATATTTCATTTTGTTTTCCTACATGTTTTGCATAGCTTTATCTACATAGTTATATTGTTTATGATCTGCCTGGATCTTTGAACCTTCCACTTATATATTATGGTTCAGATGAAGTCAATTTAATTAATGTAAATGGATAAAGAAATAAGCCTTGAATGTTACAAGATGGAGGACTATACTGGAGGCAGTGCAGGTAATTTAAGAAGCAACTTTATTGTGAGAACCAACTTTCAAATGAGCTTTAGTCATATGGACATAATAAACACATACGAAACGTGACCTCTGTTTGTAGCAATATAGCTGTGACAACTAACCATTATCATTCATCATTTTGGTAGGCATTGTATTCAAGCAAGGAATGTTATACATGAGAGTAGCAGTTAAGCCCTGCTTGGGTAGAGAAACAATGATTTCAGAAGGGAGAACTATACAGGGGATTTGTATCCTCTTCATGCAAATCTGGTATTTAGGAGTTCATTTCTTTAAAAAAAAACCTTTAGTTTTCCTCTACTGTGATAGCAAATACAGTACAGATTCGTTTATTTTGCCCTGGCTGCCTTAGAGCAAAAGAAATCCATGTGCTTCATTGGAAATAGTGGTTGTGGTGTTGTTGTTTTTGCATGAGTAGTTCAAAATTGGCTTGTAGGGTCTCTGCACAGTTGGAAAAATTATTTTCTCTCATGTTTTGACCAGATTATCCTGCAGCCGCTAGCAAATGTTATGGTGTAACAAAGACATTTTACATAATGCACTTTCATAAATGGAATATACATATACTACTAAAAAGAGAAATTGTGAAATTGCAGCAATGCCATCAAGTTCTTTGTAGTAGCTAAAATTACAAGCCATATAAATAATCGCTTTGGTTTTCATTAGTGTAGTGACTGTGTTAAAAGGGAAGAGACGGGCACAATGAACTGGGAAATGCATTGGGAATTTGTGTGTGTGAGTGTGCATATGTGCGCACGTGTCTGTGTGTGTGTGTGTGTGTGTGTCTGTATCCCCTTCCTAATGTGTATTTTGGAAAGATATATTAATGGCCTATATTATTACAACATTACAGGGTGTAAAGCTAGGTGAGATGAAGACTACATCTCTTACAAATACTGTAGAATTTTTGAAATTAATGATCTTACATCTCAGTCCAAACTATTTTGGGATTTAATTCTAGTGAAGGGAACACTTTAGGGCCAATGAGAACAAAACATCCAAGATCATCTTGCACTACTTCGAAGCCCATTGTGATTTTGCTGTTATGTGCTCATCCACAGGAAGAAATCTAAGCCAGTTCTGCCCCTGTGAAGAGAGACTAGCTTTTCCCCTCTAGCCAATTTAAAAGGCAAGCAACTCCTGCTTCAATGAACTGAGACATGAACTAGCCCTGAGATAAATAAGACTCTGCAGTGTTTGTATTACAGATGCCCATCAAAGGCCTCCATGTTCCATGTGCAAACAAAGGAAGAGAGGCTGGCCCCATAGTTTAAAATCTGCTTTCCCCAAGAGGAAGTGGCTTTTCCCCACAAGCAGAGCAGAGGGAAAATCGGAAGGGCATCCTAATTTCAGATAAGACACCAAGGCTTATTCAGTTTGTCTTCATTGTGAAACATACATCTGTGCCCACCAAGCATCTGCTCTGGACTTTGAAGCTCCCATATCTTTCTCATTCTGTTTCTGTAGTAATCACAATTTTTACACAGCGATTTGAAGATGACCACTTTCTTAATATGGGACATTAAAAATTCCTTAACAGAATAGTATCACTTCTAACTTTTCTGAGTATGTGGTTTTGCTGGCAACAATATGTCAAATATTTGACTTGTTTTCTTCTACTCTTCCCATTGAGCCTCTTCCCTGGAATGTCCTGAGAATTTCTTATCTATATACTAACCAGATCTCACCTAACTTAGTTTATTTTCAAGCCAAAGTCAATTAAGTGACATAAGAGATGGGCAATTAAAATGCAAAACTAAGAGTAAAATTAGAGATTATTCTAATTGGATGCTTTGAAATCAATGCTTGGATTTTGTTTTTCATTTACTATAAAGGGGGAGATGATCACATTTCAAATGGAATTTTATCCCAGCCTAAATGTAAGCTACAGAAGAAACAATACCTATGCAAAAATATATCAGTTGGGGAGGAGGGAGGGGCTTCTATTAACACTGAGAACAGAGGGACTCAACTTTCATTCTGATCACAGCTGGAGAGGAAAAAGCACCCTGTTGCATGATTTGAGCCCAAGTGTGATTGCTCAAACCCAGTTGGAACAGGAGCAGAAAATGTACTGACCTCAAATGGCATTAGACTAACTCCAATTAATCCTGATCAGGGCCCATGGTGGGACATGGGTAGTCTAGAATGCCTCACTTCCAGCCACTCCGGGGCTGGTGGTAAATGCCTGCAGCATAGCTTGACAGAGGAACTAATGAATTTGTCTCTGCTGTTCATTAACTCACAAATGTGTTTTTCAACAAGCCAGCTGAGGTCCTTCCTCATGCTACCTGTCCATGGACACAAGCCAGGGACTTGAACAGGATAAGAAGATAGCACACAGTAGCTACCAAGATCAGTTTTCCTATAGGGAATGCTTCCCCATTTCTTCACTACTGCGGAAGCAAGAGGTGTCACCAAATTATACTCTTTCTGTATGAGAAGCATTGATGTTGATTTTTCTCTGTCCAAGTACACATATTTTTTTTGTCTTGGAGCCCTGCATTTTGATTCCGGCAGACAATGTATTCACTGCCTCTCTGAGAATACTGTGAACACTAACAGGGCATCTTTGATGTACATCAACAAATTAATTGAAAGCTATTATCTGCCTGTAGATACCCCAGAGATAAAGCACACTCTAGGCAAGATTTATCGCCCCTCCAATATGCTTCCACATTTTTCAGTTGGCTAGAGGATAATGGGAGCTGAAATTCAACAGCTCTGGAAGATACCAGGGTAGGGAGACTTCTAGCGCAATATCTTGAGCATGTTATGGTCTAATTTATCTTAGAAAGAAAAACAGACAGCAGTGTCAACCAATTCCACCCAAAGCATAGATGGAAAGCTGTAGTGTTATCATGTAGTGAAGGTTTGGCCTCCTTCCCATCCCATTCCTTCTCCCAGACAAATATCGAGCTGAAGAGTTCAGGAGCAGGCACAATCAATAGGATGGCAAAATAAGAATGGTGTGTGTGTCAGAAGGGGAGAGAGATAAAGCAGCTATATAGCATTTGTTTTTCATGCTGATTGCCATCACTGAGGATGTATGTTTCCCACAGTGCTGCTTCTGCTTGGCTCACCAGCCACAAAGGAAGCAGAAATTGTCTGAACTGTCTCATAAAATGGCTAGGTTGGTCCTATAACACATGAAAATTATGACCCTGGTCATACAAGGATTCCTGACTGGTGGTTATCAGATGCTGTGGAAAGAAAGTTTCCCAAAATAATGGGAGATGATATTTGCATGACCCTTGCTTACAGCTTCATGACAAAGCTTTTTTTTTTTCCAAAAGCAATTTCCAAAGCTTGTTTTAAAATAGAAAACAGATGGCAAGAAACTTTCTTCTGACACGAGGAACAGCCAAACCATGCAAATCGGCAAGGGAGAGAGATTTGCCCTACTCTACTGTTAGCTATAGCATCACTAGCTAGGGAAAGTGCTTGTTTGAATCTCTGGTGGGTGATATGGCCAACAAGTGTCCATCAACTTCTAACTTTTTCCCTAGGCCAAATTGACTCTGGGTATTTCTGTCCACCTAATCTCTAGATGGGCCCAACTGTTCAGTTCCGGAGCACAAAATGTCTATAGAATCAGGACAGGGTTTTCAGAGCCCAACCAGGTGCTGCAGTAGCTGAAGTGTGGCTGGTGCTCCTCAAAGGAGGAGGAGGTGGGAGAGGGAGCCTTTGTGGTCCCTGCTAGATCTGTTTTTCCATTATGGATCGCCCAGTTGTTGCTGCTTTGAGCCTGAGCAACGTTGCCACTCCAAAGACAAGTCACGCACTGCTGGCTCCTTGCGACGTGCGTGATGTGTGTCGATCCCTCTGTTCTCCGTCTTGCGTGGGGCGAAGAATTCCTGACCTCGTCCCTGCGGCGCCCTCTCTTAAGCACAGCCCTTGAAGGCTGGATCCAGATGTGATCCGAAGCATCCTTCTACCCTTTCAAGACGGCCACCGGAGCAGATTCCCAATCCTGCCTTCTCCTCCCGGTCTTTCTCCTCCTCTCAGACGCCTGAAGGGCCTCTCCTGTTTTGACGCTCCTTTGCTTATTTTGCTGCAGCCTGGGGCGGCCCCAGTTGGACTGGGCTGCTCGTGCTGCCTGCCAGGATCACAGCAGCAGGTGGCCATTCGCTAACTGTCGCTTGAAGGCAAAGCTCCCGCCGCCGTCGCGCCTCCTCTCAGCCACTGCTTCTGAAGGCGAGTCAGCGGCGGGTCAGTAGCGCGGAAAGCGCTCAGCGCGAGTGTCTGCCCAACTGGCGCGCCCAGGTCTTCAGTGAGAGAGGAAACCACTCGCTCAGAGCCACTCCGCCATCCACGTCGCGCTCAATCAGGCCCGCGTCCTCATTGCAACCCTCTCCCCCCCCACCCCGCCCCCCCGCCCCCCCCCCCCCCCCCCACGGAACGCATTCACCCCGGCTTCTCCCGCGCCCTCCCTCCCTTCCCCCAGTCTCTCACGCACCCCCCGCCTCGTCCCGGCTTTCACGGCGGCGTCTCTGTCTCCCGCGCACACACCACCCAGGCGCTCCGGCTGCACTTCAGCGGCTTCCCAGCGGCTCCTCAGATGGCAACTCCGGGAGCTGGATTTTGGTCCTTCGGGACTGAGGAGGGATCTGGCGATCCAGACAACCCAGGTCCAGGTAAGAATCTCCGGCCCGCCTTTCTTGGGCACATAGTCAGACCGCCGGGAGAACGGATGGCAACCCGAAGCCACCCGCCCGCGCGAAGTTGCTCTTCGCCTAAGTCTTCCGGGACTTTTGGCATCTCCCCGTCCAGCCTGGACCCTTCTCGCCCTGAAAGGAGAAGGGGCTGCCGGTCCCCTCAATTGACTTGGCAGAGAGCTTCAGACCATGACAGCCCAGTCGGTCCCATCTTAGTCTGAAGAGACATTTACCTGTTGGCCAGGGAGACCTTGCCCCGGCGAAGGAGGGCAGCCCTGGCGTCGAAATGAGGGCGAATCTGGGCTTTGAGGCGGCGGCTAGGAGACGCGCCAAAGATCACCAACGACGCAAAGTGAAGTGGAAAGAAGGGCGGGTTGGGTGGGTGCAGGTGATGAGGTCGGCAACCCTGGATGCGCCGCGATACTGCTTTATTTTTTTTTATTTTTTTTTTATTTTTTTTTTGAGCCGCTGGCTACAGATAAGGTCACTAGAGAAATACGGGCAAGGGGCTGGGATGATGGAAGCTGTGGCCGGCTGCAAAAGACCCTCTTAGAAAGTTATAGGTGTCACCACCCACCCTCGGATTTAAGGGCGATCCACGGAAAGAGCGGTTGAGGCTTGCTTTCTTGAGCTTAAAATCTTTCTCAGAGGGAAAAGGCGGAAAGCAACCCGCGCAGCTCTATCCCACTGCTCAGGAGGCAAAAGCCCCTGAGAGGGTTGCAGCCGATGGACCCTCACTCCGCTACTCTGATTGAAAGAAATAAAGAATGTAGTCGTAGTCTATTGTGTGATACGGTCCATCCACTGAAATCTACCCATCCATCTAATGCCAATATCTTGTTCTCCTCTGCCCTTAGCCAAAGCCTGGTGCCAGGCTGCCCAGAAGTTTACTGGAGGCATTTCAACCAAACTCTGCGGTAAGCATCTACCCCAAGAGGGTCCCCAAATCACCGAAAGAACTGTTTTTATTTTTTAAAAATGATGATGATGATGATGATGATTTCAGCAATCAAAGTAATCTCCTCAAAGTCTCAAGGACGCTTTCAAAGGAAATCTGGAGATTTGGCGACCCTTGGAAGCGTGGAGGCAAGGGGAGACATTGGAATTGGGGAGGAGGGGGGCGTTTCGCTCCAGTCCCCGCGGTGCCATTGACGCTTCGCCCTTTGTGTCTTTGTTAGCTCTGCTCTACGGAGATGGCGACAAGACCACAGAAACGGGAGCGACGAAGGCAGACCCTGATTCGGCCTCCAGAAAGGGGGCTTGTACCTGCAGCAAAAAGCCTTGCGCTTGCCAGAAAGGGGAGCTCAGCTATGCTTTCCTGCACGCCTCAGGTAATTGGCCTCCAGCCCGCCCAGGACTTGGCGGCGGAGTCTTAAAAGGAGGGTGGGTAGTCAGACGTTTTGGAAGCATTGTGTCACTCATTTGCCCCTCGAGGTGAGGCGTGCGCCACCCCGTCTTGCAAAAGGAGCGTAGGTCAGATACCAGCTCCCTGTATATTCTCACTCAGCCACCACAAGAAGAAAATAATATGTTTTTTCGGTTTCGCAGAGATGCCTTCACCTCCCGTCTCCATTTTTATATATATTCTTTCTATATCGCAACGATTCCAACGTTGGAAAACCAGTTGAAACCTGCCTAAGCAAGAACTAGATTAGCTTCGATTTAACTCCAGAAACACTACCAAAAAAAAACACAAACAAAAAAAAACCCCACACTTCCCGTTGATTCCAAGCCAAATGAATTAGTTTTTCTTCATTTAAGTACAACTATTCCTACAGTGAATTTTTTGCTTTGTTTTGTTTTATGGGCTATTTCTAAATTCTTTAATTTCAAATCCCACCACGTCTCTCCAGGGCCAAGGAATACTCAGAATAGATCGATGGACAACGCGTGTGTGTTTGTGTGTGTGTACGCGCGCGTGTGCGTGGTGGGGGGGGCAGGCAGGAAGAAATGTAGAAATTTTGAATCAGTCTTTTAAATTTGGAAGTGCTTGCCAAGAAGAATATTTATGGGACATGAATCATTCTGGCTCAATAAATCTATTTGAAAACAATCTACCATATATTGCTAGATGGCAATATATATATAACCAATAAATCGCATTCTTTGACATCACACAGAAGCTGGTTCGAATAATGTCAATGGCTACCCATCCCATAACATTGTTCCTTGTCTGAGAACTGTTGTCAAATTGACGGTTGATTCAGCACCACTTGGTAGAGGACAGCGACCAAACCGATTTTAAGTCATTTTATAAACCTAAATTGAGGCAAATGGGGGAGGAGTAATGGTATTGGCAGTATGTGTTTCATTTTTCAAACAAAACTGTTTGATTTTTAAAAAAAATAATATGTCAAATATTTAAAATATTAATTCTTAAATATTGATTTAAGATATATTGACAATGACAGTGACACTGTTTTGACAGTGACGTTAAAGTATATTTCATAATCGTGCATCTCTCCCTGTGATTTGAACTGTATGTTTATACAAACAGCAAAGCTTTTAGATATATTAAAGACCTACAAATTATTACAGGTAATAAAATAAATACAGTCTGCCTCCGCTGTTTCTGTTTCAAGCATAAGGGTCTGCAAGGGTCGCATCTTGTTTGTTCCTTCTCTGCAGATCTTCTGCCGGCTTCAGAGGGGGAAGCGATCACCTTGGCTTTCCTACAAGATGTGATGGACATTTTGCTCCAGTATATGGTGACGAATTTCGACCGATCCACTAAAGTGATTGATTTCCACTACCCAAACGAGCTGCTTCAGGAACATAACTGGGAATTGGCGGATCAGCCCCAAACCTTGGAGGAAATTCTGTTGACTTGCAGGACGGCGCTGAAATACGCCATCAAAACAGGTATGCCGGGCTCGGCCGACCGCGACCAACCTAGGTTTTCGCTATTGATCATCTTGGGCGCTGCAGCCTTTTCGTGCTGGGCCTTTAAGGGAAAGAGCTGCAATTTCTGGGCAGGGCGAGGGAAGTGGGGGGGCGGCATTCATTCCATTCCGCCGCGGCTAGTGGGTAGGACTCAGGACAGTAGCGGTCAGTGGGAGGCCGGACACTTGAAGGACAACAATTGCTTGCCATGTTTGTGAGAGGAGGGGGTGGGTTGATTCTGAGGACAGAAGCTTCCTCTCCCTTCCCCCCCATCTTTAAAAAGTGCACCATTTGAAAAAGTAAACCCACTTCACCTACCCGTTTCTTTATATCTCCTCCGACACAGTGTGTACAGCTAACCGGAGGTCTATTATTTCTGTTTCTTTCGCTTTTTTAAAGGAATTTTAAAGTATTTTCTGGATGAATAAATCCGACCCAAACGGAATTGGTTGGAGTACGGTGGACAGTAAATGCGTGCCTCTCCATGGCTGGACTGAAACGGTGTATAGACCATGCCACACTAATGATTTATGGCGTCTTATACTGTCATCTGACCATTGCTATGCCAATATATCAATAAGACAGACATTATAGCGCCACAGCGATGGCTGGGTGACCCTCGAAGACGCTATAAATCACTCGTGAGGCAATCGCTTTTGGGGTGGACTGTGGGTGGGAACAAAGGGATGGTCTCAGGCGAAGAGGTGGATAAAGGAAACAGAGGAGCAGAGCAACCGGGCAAGAAACGAGGTATCCATTGAATAGGCGAGCTCTTCGTTTGCGCCCGGTCATAAAATATTCTATTGTTGTCATTACACCGTGATGCCCATAGCAAACGGCAGCTAGCACCCGATAGGATTCCATGGGTGAACTCACTCCGCCAATGACTTCGTTCCCTCAACCCTAGCTAGTATCACCAAATCACGCTGACTTCTATGGCGGTACGGCTGAGTGACAAGACTTGTGTTCCAGGGCATCTCGGAGGCATCCAACTGGTGAAGGAAGCCTCGTCCAGACTCTAATTTTTGTAGAAGTTACTGTTCTTCTCGCTTCCTTCTCCCTCTTCTTCTGCTTTCACGGGACACTTGGCTCTCTTCCTGCCAGAGATGAAAGTGGCTGGAAGCCTTCTTGGGAGTAAGCCAATGCGGGGCGGGTCGGCTCTTGCACGACCTTCGCGGCTGATGGCCAGCTTCTCGAGATGCCAATGGAAGGAGGTCCCAGAACAGCACAGCTTCTCTTTATCCCTGCACGGTTCTTCTGCCTAGGTTCGCAAATTTGGGGGAGAAGATCGAGAAAGGAGGAGTGCCAAATTTATGCGTTTGGTTGGATCTTGGTGTGTCAACCGCTTTCTTTGTTGCTGAAGCTGCCCTGCCTTGAATTTCGTTGCTAGCAAGGTTTTCTTTCTTTTCTTCCCCCCCCCCGCCGCCCCCAGTGTACGTTTGGCATCAGTTATTTTTAAGAATATCCCTGCCAGATCAGAATGTGGAGCCATGATTGGTTGCGTAACTGGGTCGATGGACGGATTTAGGATTCAGCCATCCATCCCTGGTTGCAAATGAGTCCATTTAATTTCCAAATATTCCTCTTAGGGGACGCGACCTCTTACTAATTCTACATACTGGCAGTTCTCGAAAAGGTGGCGTTTCTTTCCCTTTAAAAGTGGGGGCAGCTTTTTACAGCCTCATCCTTTTTCGCTCTCTTGGAAATCACCTCTGCAGCTTTCCTCGGATTTAAACCCAAGGAGGCCTTTTTTTTTAAAAAAAAAAATCAAGCTTAATTTAATGACAGATTAAGAAATTGCTACTGGCATTTGGGAAAAATCTGCACTGGAATTCAGGTCATTGCAAGAAAATCTAGCAATCTCGGTAGGATTTGTTAGACAGTCGTAAGAAAATATGAAAGTAGACAATTCTGTTCTTCTTCAGTCTCCCAGCCCAAAGATTTAGTCGAAGTTAGTTCTTTTTAGTTTGTAGATCCCGGATTTGTCATTAACTGAATGAGAGAGAGGTTGTCGTTTAAAGGACCTCCTGATGTCCACCAGATGTGCTGAACTCCAGAATTTTCATGCCCAGCTCCAGTCTTCCTTTGGGAGAAAGCTGAGATAAACAACAATAGATTTATTGTGGGCCGTATGTGGTCCAGAGCACATTTTCTGCAGCTGGACATTCTGCAGCTCACACCAAGAATTGGACCATTTCCATGATTTTGAGTCCATCAGCATCCATGTGTTCCTCCAATTTGCTGGAATGGTCCTTCTTTTCCAAGGAGTTGCTGGTTGAAGAAACCCATTCGAAGTAGCTAAGCCCAATCAAAGGCAGGATAGTTGCCTGAATCACAATGAGAACCCATGAATAAGCTTACAGGAAGGTCCAAGAAACCATTCCCAGTTGTCCACAGAAGGATAGTGGATAGGGCAGGAAGGCCACATGAAGTTAGATCTTCCTCCCTCCCTGCAGGAAGGCTTTTGCAAGATCTGACCAGAAGAAAAGAGCTGAAGTGGTATTGAGAATGGAGGAGAAGATTGTCTACCAAGAGGTCTCCAAGTCTCACACATTCATATAGATATTTCATTGAGAGATGTGTGCATGCCAATGCATGCAAAGACCCACATATAAGTTGACACAGGTTTGTCTGTATTAAAAAATCCATAAATCAGATTTCCCCCCCCCCAAGAATTGCAACTACTGTTCATTTATCATGTGAATAACACAGCTAATGTGTTTCACACACACACATATATCCGACTTTGAGCAGGGGAGGAGGAGCCTATTATGCATCACTTCCTTACAGGGAAAAGAGAATGTATTATTTCATCCAACCCACTCTGTCCAACATAAGAAAATGCAATTAGATAAATAGGAGGCAATGCTTAAATGATCAGTTGGTTACTGATCCATTTGGATGACGTCCCACAGTTTGCTGTGATATCTGATCTGCTTATGGGTATCACAATTTTCTCCCTGAATATTCCCCAGAGATGGATTTCAGATGGACTTCAGTTCCAAAATTATTCCAGACAACATGACAATTGTTGAGAACTCCAGGTGAGTGAAGTGCCCAGACTGGTATAAATTAGATCAGAAATCAGGTAAATTTCCTTCAACCTTCCAGAACTACTAAATTTCAGAATAATCTGCTGCCTGTACTGGGACCTGAAATTAGGCCAAGTGAAGAGTAGCAGACTGGCAAAGGCTGAACTAAACTGAGAAAGATGGAATGAAAGACATATTGTTATTTAGATGTGCTCCAATACTGGAGGTTTTAAAAAAGAGATTGGACTATTTGTTTGAAATGGTATGGGGGGTGGACTAGAAGACCTCCAAGGTCCCTTCCAACTCTGTTATTCTGTTAAATCTTTTGAAACCCAAGGATTTCCCCCATTTACTTGGCTAGAATACAGATTTAGACAGAAAACCATGTCTGATACTGTTAGAGACACTTAAAATTAGCAAGTATAAAATTTGCTAACCCAATTGCCAAGCTGTATGCCAGCCACAGTAATGAGACAGGTTTAGCATATGACTTAGTCAATGAACTGTGATTAGACATCTGGGACTGCATTGCTACGGTATATGTTTACCTGTGGTTAAACGAAAAATGTTTATGTCATTAATCCAGTGTTTTAGATGTTTCTCACACACTAACCTATAAATAAACTATGGGGCTTCTGCAGTATCTGATTCCAAAATATGGTTCAGAATGTTCAATGATCTTTGGATCTCTTGCAGTTTGTTTTCCTGGAAAAACCTGTTATCTGCAAATACCCTGGATTTAAAAAGAGTTTTCTCTATTGCTGGAAATCACAAGTGCAAGGATTCCCATTAAGAAGAAAAGAACTTGGAGACAGGATTTCTAAAAAGCTCCTTATGATTCATTGGCATACAAATTGAATGCAACAAACACGCAAGTGTATCCCTCGATGCTTCCTCGAATGTGAGAATTGTTTAGTTCAGCTTTGCTCAGCCCAGCGCCCTGCAGGGTGTGTTGGATTTGGCCACCGCTCCAGTGGCCACAATGGCACGCCAAGGAATTTGGGGAGTTCAAGCACAGCATTTGCGGAAGGGGCAAAGTTGAGCGAAACTAATCTGGGTTAAAATAATAACCAATACGGGCCAAGGGGGCATCCTTCCGGGAGTTGCCCCTCCCCGTTTTCCCCCTCCTCTCTTCTTTTTCTTAAAGAAGCTCGTAGACTGCTTGACAATCTTCTCTTAACTGTTGCTAATTGTTTTGGTTTTATTCTAATGTAAAAACTCCCTGGAATTGAGCTCATTTCTGGTGACAGCAGGAGACGTCCGTGATGTTTTCCTGGCAAAAAAAAAGTGGCTTCCGTTGGCTTTCAGGAGATTCTTGTCTAACGGTGTAACCACAAACAAACCAAGTTCGACCTTTTTTTGGTGGGGGGTAACCATAACAAAGTACGCTATTTTAGCGCGTTGCGCGAAGCCATCTTCATCTCGGCTCGGGCGCCTTCCTTGGTTTGACGCAACAAGTCACACGACTCAGGCCCTTGCCGTTCTCAGCCAGAGTTTCGTGCGAACCCAGTCATTGCGCATTTTAGTTTTATTTGCCTGGTTTTATTTGCTCGTCCAGTCGTTGAAATCGCTTCGCGTCACCAATAAAGCAACTTCTAGCTAACATCCCACAACAGCAACCTTTTGGTTCAGTAGCTTTGTGTCGCCTCCGATCACCGAAGCGGGCTTGGGGGCTACAGAACTGGGCTGCAGAAACCTGGATTATTTTTTAATAGCCGGTACGGTGCCGTTTTTGGTCGCTGCATCTCCCACAACAGGGAAGCTCACACTCCGCCAGCCCGGTCTCCCTTCCCTGCCTCCAACCTTACCCCCCCCCCCGCCAAAAAAAAAATGGTGCGGCGGGAGAAGGGAATCGTAACGCGGCTCGTTTGGATTTTATTGGAGAAAGGGAACATGGGGGGGACAGAGGAGAAAAAGTCGGAAAATTAGGAAAAGGTTTTTTGGCGG